AGCAGGTTGAATTCATGACCTGAAGCTGAATGCTTCCAGCATGTTCGTTCAGGGTGTAGATGGGAATAAAGTATCTTTGCAATGCTCTGTTCCCTCCGTCTCCCCAGACATCTGACACCCTAAAAGCCATCCACAGCTATGGAGCCTGAGCGACACCTTGATTTGTGTTGTCACCCGACCAAGCCTAAAGACCTCTAGCTCAGTCCCCTACCTTCATCCCACCCCCCGGATGATAAAATTCAGACCTGTCTCCTGAAAGGCAGAGGTTAAACATTCAGGACTGTTTCTGGCCAAGGACTTCTTCCAATTAAAATCCCCACCGTGGGCTGTCTCCCCTCATTTCACTTTTCTAAAGGGGCAGAGGCTCTTTTAGAAAATAATAACATGCAATGTGTATGATTTACTTTTCTGATCTCTTTGAGAGATAGAGAAATATAAAAATGTGTTCTTAACTCCAGAACCACTCTTTTTGCATAAATACCTCATCGGGCAGCTTTCTAAGTGTGATTTTCCTGAGCCTCCCTTTGTTGGATCTGCTGGAAGACTTGTCGGGGAACCTTTAGTGAGGGTACTTCTTCCTATTTTTCTTCTGTTTTTGGAGGCATACACATTATGCATAACCAAAACAATGGCTCAGCTGTGTTTAACTTTGTATTTTGATTGTTGAAAATAAAAACAAAAAGTATCAATATGTATGTGGCTGTTTGTAGTGAGTTCATTGAAGAATGAGGTTGTCTGTGTCCTTAACAAGCCAAGGGGCAGGAGGCACTCTCTCTTATCCCCTCCTCCAAGAGCAGTAGAAAATTTAAGCACAAGCCTATTTGTGAAAGAATATTTTGCTTAAGTGTCATTCACTTTAGTCTTGGAATTCCTTCGCAAACGTCAGGAGTTCTTTTAGCTTCCAAACTAGCATACGTATCTATGAGTCTGACAGATCGCCTGAACACCATTAAGAGGTGTGGTGTTTTTGCTTTCATTTGTCCTGCTGGGAGAAGTAGCGGTTCATGTGTCATTCCAGTATCTCACATACTCATACGGGGCAGGGAGGAGGGGGAAACAGGGAACTATATCAAAATTTAAAGATGCTTTGGAAAGCAACCGTGAACACATCAACACAACAACGTCTATGATTACTTGCTATTGACCCTCGGACACATTTAAGAGAAAGAGACAGTCACTCTTTTTTTTTCTTAGATGATATACACACAGTCATTTTTATCCTATTATAATTGTCTTTTATCTTTATCTAGCACTATGTGGAAAGGGTTTGCATCATAGATTTTTCCCAGCCTTATAATATACCATAAGCTCCTACTTCCTTGCTCCTCTCTAATCAGTATTCTTTCAAGAGTTCTTCGGTGAAGCCATCTATCTGAAACTAAAATGAACCAAACCCATATTTCACTGGTGGTTGGAGAAAACCATAGCCAAAACGATTGTGGCAGGTCTCAGTCTTGGGAGTTTTTAAGAAGGAATGTGCCAGAGGCGTTTCCCAAGAACGGAGTTTTGTTTTGTTTTGCAGAGGCATTCAGTGTGTCTAGTGCTTGCTGGCCACAGCAGTTACTACCACAGAGCCTTCTGGGAGGGGCCGTTATGTTGAAGGAGGCTCCTGCCTGAGGGACAGCATCAGGCAGCGGGCTCTGTAGAGTGAGTACCAGGTGGACGCCTTCTGTGCCCAGCTCAGAGTCCTGCACCACAACAGGACTGCCCAGGCCAAGGGCTACTGACGCAACTTCCACTCATTCCACTCTGTGTGGGGGGCCTTGCACCTCTCCTGGAAGGGCTCTTGGAGAAGGAATTGTAGTTGCGTACAAGTGACCTAAAGGGGAAGCTTTTCTTTCTTTCTTTTTTTTTTTTTCAGATGGAGTCTCACTCTGTCTCCCAGACTGGAGTGCAGTGGCGCTATCTCGGCTCACTGCAAGCTCTGCTTCCCGAGTTCATGCCATTTTCCTGCCTCAGCCTCCTGAGTAGCTGGGACTACAAGCGCCCGCCACCACACCTGGCTAATTTTTGTATTTTTAGTAGAAACAGGGTTTCACTGTGTTAGCCAGGATGGTCTCAATCTCCTGACCTTGTGATCCGCCCACCTCGGCCTCCCAAAGTGCTGGGATTACAGGCGTGAGCCACTGCGCCTGGCCAATGTGAAGCTTTTCTAGATGAGATTGGATTAAATTCCATGTGATTTCTCTTTACCTTTAATCCAGGTTGGGACTCGTTTCTTTCTGGTGAATCACAGCTGCCCAGATGTTGCAACTGATTTTTATGTTTCTAAATATTTTTCTTGCAGCTTCAGGATTTTTTGGCCACCAAAGGAAAACATGGAACTCTGTGTTTCCTCTTGATCGTGATTTCCCAGTGTTGATAGTTAAGTCCTTAGTGTCATAGGTCCCAGCCCACCAATACTATATCAAACACTGTTATGCACATAATGCAGCACTGTGATCTAATGTAAATAATACTTTTTATTATTTACACTACTATATATAATATACATCAACACTTTTGCTATATCACCTAAGTGATAACCCTCTTTTAGTTACCTGCCAAACTCTGGACTTGGTTTATATTGCAGTTAACACAGTTACAAAGTTGTAATGGTGTCTCTTTTTCCTTTGTAATGGAATGTGTAAATCAAAGTATATACATTGTGTGGTGTTCCTGTTTCTGGAGTTTCATGAGGATTTACACATGGCATTCAGTGTTCTGTATAGGTCTGCCTACCTTTGTGAATTCATCTGTTAAACCTTCTTCCTTTGAGAGAGCCCCGGCGATGGTGGTTAACTCCTTGTATTTTCTCTCTCTCATACTGGTTATTCTTGAATTAAGCACAGACTTGTCAGTTCGGTTGCTTTATCATGAATAATGTGTGTGACCTTACAGTTCTGCCACAGTTCAACAAACAAGTGCTAGCTTCACTGACCAAAAATTAAGGAAGGAAAACACAGTTTTTAAAATGATCCATCTTTTAACAGCCAAAACTGATGTGTCTATGGTACTGCATCTTGTGTTGTACTTCTGAAATCAGACCTGTGTGAATGATCATTTCTGACTTAACTGTGAGATGCTCACGAGTACCTTTCCTGTTGTTTTGTTAGCGCTGAAATCAAGACTGTTTATTTGGAATATATACAACAGTGTTTTTCCACTGTATTTCATTTGCAAAAGTTGAGAACTGCTTTCTCTACCTTTTGCAAAATAATTGATATTCCATATTGGATTCTCAAAGATTTCGATATCGTGAACCTATTAAACCTAGAACTTGTATTCATCCTTTCATGACTGTGGCCTGAGTTCCCCAGCCCCTCTCCTCCTTTTTTCAGATGAGATTTAGCACACTCTCAGTTATTTAAACATGCAACATTTCTTGAGTATGTATGTTGAGGCCATCTGGGCTCATAGCTGATTCCATAACCAGTTTCATGCTGTGTCATTCACACTCACTACTTAATACTGCCATGGTGAAAATGTGGAGGAAAAATGTATCCATGTGTGTCTGGGAAGCCTATACACTTGTGCAGTTTTTAATACTCTGAATTCTGTAACACTTCCGAGTTTTGTTTTGTTTTACAGACAAAATGAAGTGATAAAGCAATCAGAAGATCAAGAGGTTTACTATTGATGCTTAGGGTCATCTGACCTTGGCTAGCCAATAGATCTACACAGCCAATTTAATTTACGAGAGTAATAATTTTTCAAAAGTCAATTTTTTTCTGTATTTTCTGTATGAAACTGCCAATATCATGAATAGAAAGGGAGAACCATAAAGGAGAAAGAACATGATGTTCAGTTATGTTCGTGTGAACCTAAAGAAACAATGTGGAGGCAGGCACGATCAGCTAAACTCTAGGGACTAGATGGTGTTGCTTGGAAGGCATGCATACCTGCATTTTGGATTCTTCGTATGTAATCATATTGCCAAAGACAAACTATTTCATCATTTATTGTAAACAACACTCTTCCCCAGACCTACCACAAAGTTTCTGTGATGTATTGTCTTCCAGTTGCAATAAAAATTACTGAGTTACATCAATTGGGGGGAAAAAAAAATGATGGGGCATTGGACTTGGAGAGGCTGAGCTGCTCCAAACTGTAATTCCAGATGGATGGAGGCAGGGACAGCATCAAGAGCCAGCCTCCAGTCCCTGGCCCCTGTCCTGTCTATCTGCTAATTAGTTTGGGAAAGACCTGAACCTGTTTGATCAGCAAAGAAGCCATTGGCCTTCCTTCCAAGTAGCTCCAAAAAGAGCAGCCTCAGATGAACATTAGGAGGCTTGGTCAGGTCCTGGCAGGAAATAGAAGGATTCTCAACTGGGATTATGAAGGTAATTGCATAAGGGAACCATTTGCAGAAGTACGGCAAGGTTAAGGGAATCAACAAGGAATACTGAGACAGGTAGGGACCAGCAACAACAGGAAGCTCTTCCTACTCTCAGCCTGAGGAGATGCATGGAAGAATGGAGTCCTCAGGACCCAGAAAGTGTGGGAGCCATGCAAGGGGGCTGCCCAGAAGGAGCTGTAGTTGAAGAATTAAAGCAAGGCAGGGGAGGAGGGAGCAGAAGAAACTCCCTGACCTGTCTCATGCCTTTGATCTCCTGCCAAAGCTTCCTGTTAATCTAACCCAAACTGGAAGACAGAAGACAGGAGAGCCCTGTGATACTATCCACAGAGATTTGTCTCCTGGAGCATAGAGCAGGCAGAAAATGGATCTTGGACAGGGAGCAAAGCAAAATTGCAAAACCAGCAGATGGGGTGTTGTAGATGGTGCACCCCAGTATAAATAACAAGTCCTTGGAAACCAGTAGTCAGTATGAATCGTGAGTTTCCCGCTTACTAACTGTGTGATCTTGAGCAAGTCACTTTGCTCTCTGAGCCTGGGTTTTCCTCTTGGGGCTAATTATACCCTGTTGATGGAGTAGTTGTGAGGATTAAATGAGACACCTTATGGGAAAGCAACGACCATGTACAAGGTTCTTATAAAGATTGTTTTTCCTTCCCTTCAGAGCCCCCCTCCCAAGCTCTGCTGGACTGGAGGCACTGGAGTAGAGTGGAATGGAAGAAATACACAGACTTTGGATTCAGACCCTGGCTCCACAGCTACCAGCTGCATGACTTTCCGCAAGTCACTGAACTGCACGACCAGGGGCAGGTTATGTGTCCTCTCCAACTTTGTTTTCTTAATGGTAAAAAGGGACTACTCGACTCATAACATTGTTGTGAGGATTAGAAATGATGTAAGGTACCTACTAAAGTATTGGGCTCATTGTAGGTAAGCCCCGGAATTAGACTAATTTCAAATCCTATTTCCCTCCTTATGAACCATGTAATCTTGCACAAGTTTTTGGATCTCTCTGAACCTCAGTTTCTTCATCTATAAAATGGGGATAATAAAACACCTCTTTTTTAGGGTTGTTGATAATGAAGTGAAGTCATGGGCACACAACGAGCCAGGCATAGAGTTGGCCCTCAAAAGTTTGTTGTTATTGATCATTACTATTATCACTCTTACAATGTTTCTTGTGTATCTTTCCCCAATCAAGCATCCAACCCTTCTACTCAGACCCCCAGAGTCTTTGCTGGAGAAAAGCAAGTAGGGAATGGGACCAGGGGAGACAAGTAATTCAGAGGGGATGGGTTCATGGCATAAGGATGGCTCAACCTGCTTGGCAAATGCCTTTGCACACACATCCAGACATGAGGCACAGTTGAACACCCGGCCTGTAACTCTTTGGCCTTCCTCTATCAGGTCGCCCAAACAAGAGGATGGCCTATCCTCCAGCTTTCTCACCCTCACCCTGGGCTGCCTGATGTCATGTTGAGACTGACTGGCTTTCAGTTGGATGAAAACAGAGGGAAAGGGGGAGTGTACAGACCTGACACTGTATGCCCCAATCATAATTTGCCAAACCCTTACTATGTGCTGGGCATTGTGGAGACTTAACGTAATTAACTCATATCAATTTCAACAATATTGTGAAATTAGTCAAATTGAAATAGTAACATTAGTAATATTGGAAGCTAAATCTCAGAGAGGTTAGGGAACTTGGCCAGCATCACACAGACAGTAACTGGCAGAGTCCACATTTGAAATCAGTTCTAATTGTTCCCAAAGCTCAAGCTTGGGCTGCTGTGCCAGGTGGCCTCCCGGAAGGATGGCTCATATGTTGAACATCAATGTAAGGGTTTAGGGAGAGAATGGGAGGACAGGAGTGAGGAATGAGCCTGGAACAGATGTGAGAACAGCATTATCTGCCATTGCTGGTCACTTCCCTAGGAGGCCTGGAGACTGAGAATTGCTGAGGCTCCTTTCCCTCTGATACTCTGAGCCAGACCCTAACTGCCAGGGTCCTGGAGAAGAAAGACAAAAATCCAGCTTTCCAAGGCCCCAGAAGCTGGCCTCTTTCCCTCCTCCCCATCCTAGTTCCTTAGGGCTCAGATCACCTTTTCCTACCCTGAGCTGCAGAAAGCCTCTTAGCTAATGGTTTAGTGTGCCCCAGAGGGTGCCTAGAAAAAGATGGTGGACTTTCAGATGGGGGCCAAGGACTTTTCCTTACATCATAATGCCCAGGTGCTTTTGATCCCTTAATCTGCCAGCCTCTCAGGCGAAATCTGTGGTCATAAGTGTAAATGGACTGGCCAAAGGGTTGTGGGGAGCAGCACCAGACTGCTACAGCCTCTGTTGGCCTCTTCAGAGCATACATACTCTTCTTGGGACTTCTGCAGCCAGGAAATGTGGGGGCCCAGCACAGTGAAGGAGCTCAGCCATGGGGTGGGGGAACACACAGCCCTGGGTGCCCCTCAGAACTGGAGCCCCCAGGATGTTCATTGGTTTCTTCACGGATTCCACAAACAGTTTCTGAGAACTTACTTTAGGTGAGCCCTGTATAGGCCAAATCAGATAGAATCATGCCCTCGAGTTGCTTAGATCTCATGGGGGAGATAAAACGTGCAACACAAAAATACCAAAGTGCTGGTCATAGTGGCTCACGCCTGTGTACCCAGCACTTTGGGAGGTTGAGGTGGGTGGATCACCTGAGATCAGGAGTTCAAGACCAGCCTGACCAACATGGTGCAACTCCGTCTCTACTAAAAATACAAAATTAGCCGGGTGTGGTGGTGCATGCTTGTAATCCCAGCTACTCAGGAGGCTGAGGCAGGAGAATCACTTGAATCCAGGCGGCAGAGGTTGCGTTGAGCTGAGATTGCGCCATTGCACTTCAGCCTGGGCAACAAGAGTGAAACTCCGTCTCAAAAAACAAAAAACAAAACAAACAACAACAACAAACAAACAAACAAACAAAAAACTGAAAGCGTGGAATGTTATCCAAACCTCTTCTTGGCATTTATAAGTGTTTGAAGGGTTCAGAAAGACAGCAGGTAGGGGGAAGGGGATGCTTCCATAGCACTTACTATATACCAGTCACTGTTCTAAATGCTTTGCATACATTAACTCTCATAATCCTTACCCCATCATTCTACAGATGAAGGAACAGGCATAGAGAGGTGAAGTGACTTTCCTCAGGGCCTAAAGCTGGTAAGTGGATTTCACCCAGGCTGTGTGGCTCAGAGTCTGTGCTCTTACCTAGGTTATTGCGCGGGGTTCCTGCCTTGCCCTCAGGTCTTATCACCTGATTGTTAAAACACAATGATAAAAAACAAGCAGTAATATTTTCACCTATATTATGCTCAGTTGTTAAAAATCAGTATATCTGCAACATGTTAATATGTGTCATTGTTAGATTATAAGCTACAAAGAATCTCATTCAGCTATACTCATTGAGTGTCTGCCAAGAGCCAGACACTGTTGTAGCTGCTTAGCATATTCTAGGTCAATTCACTTCTTGCAAAAGCCTTGGGAAATAGGTGGCAATTTCCCCCTGGGTTCCAAAGGAAGAAAATGAGAGACAGACAGCAAAGATATTTGCTACACCAGTAACTCCTGGAACTAAGCTTTGGATACAGTTCTTTTAACACCAGTTTTAACTTTTACTGCTTTTAATTTTAAAGATGAATATTAATATGGTTAATCTTCAGTATATAGAACCACATACAGTGTAGCCTATACCTAGTATATTTTTCATTTGTTTTTGCATGTGAAGTAAGCTTTATTTAATTTTTTTTTTTTTTTAAGCACTAGCATCTTAACTCCTAATATTAAAGAGCGTGGAATGTGGGCTTTGAGTTTGGCTCTGAGTTCAAGTTTTCTGGTTATCAGTATGAGGATGTAAACTTGGGCAGATCTCCTCAAATCTCAGGCTCCTCATCTATAAAATGGGGATTATAATAACCAACTCCAAGAGATTATTGTGAGGATTACATTAAATTTCATACAGAAAGAGCCCAGAATTGTCTGTGATACCCTATAGACTCCCAGCAAACATAGCTATTCTTTATAGATAGCTACATAGCATGGGTCCAATAAATATGTCATGGAGTGATGGGTCTTACATAGTCCTCTAATACACATCTTCATTTCATCCCATCAGTATCGTTGGGAGAAGGATATTCTCATTTCAGAGATAGATATCCCACATCTAGTAGGATTTGAGATTCTGTGTATCTCCTCAATCTCAAATGCATATCTTGTGACTCACCATTCCAGTGAGCTCGCTGCCTTCCCTCATCTGTTCAGTGGGGACAATGGCAATGCTAGTCTTACCGTCCATTGTGAGCCTGGGAGATTTGTGTGATGCGACAGTTGCCCAGAAGGATCACAAAACGTTAATGGTGACCATATAGTGCTTATGGTGCTGCCTCTCTGATGGTGAAGACAGGTGAGGGACTCCAAGGCACATGTACCAAGGTACTATCCTAGAAATATCAATCCTATGAGGTGTTAAAAAAAAAAAAAAAAAAGGTTCTTAGCTAAATTTGTTGTCTATGGCCACTGGCTGTGGCCAGTCCCATCTCAGAAAGCCCCTATTTGGTGAATAAGTCCTGACTTAGAAAATTCCTAGGTCTGCAGCTTAGTTAGAAATTCAGTATCTGGAATCCGGCTGTTGCAGCCAGGTGTATGTGGTTTGAGTGAAGGTTTTTTTGGTTAAGATATTGATGATGGCCCACTACCTCCCTGGGTTGAGAGGAGATAGGCACCTGAGAAAGGAGAGACTCCTGTTCCCCTCATCCTATCGGACTCCCATTTAGCATTAACTCTGTGATTCAGAGTGTATCTGTGTGAGGTTGGATTTACTTGTTGATCTTACCCAAGTCTTTGTCTAACCCGCTGCCTTCCATTCTACACTTGGTTTTAGCCATAAGGCCAAAAAGTGATGCCTTCTAACCTTTATCTGAGATAAGTAGATGCTCTCCACCATCCTGAGCACTGTCAGGATTCTGTATCTGGTTGCCCTAAGCCATGTTGATCTTGACTTCCCACACCTTTCTTCTTGGAATATCACAGCGTTCACTAACATATTAGGGCTCTAAGAAATGTGCTTTAGTTAATCATAGGTCTCTTCATCCTACAACACCTGTTAATAGCCTACAGCCCATAGAACACACTTTGGGAAACATTGTCCTAACGAAAGAGAACCGAGGTTCCATTGCCTAACAGAAGGGAACCCAAATTTCACACACCCCTTAATGAGCCTCCACTTCTGAGTAATCAATAGAAGGCATTAAAGCTTACCATGGGCAGGGGTCTGTGGGAGAGCATGGAGAATGTGGGAGGCTACAAAGCTGTGCTGAGCCCCCAGGCCCGCTCTCGAGGAATCCACGGCATGATTGAGAGAGATAAAACGCCCACACAATCAATGCTGAAGGAGGCTGAGTGTGGTTTAGTGCCAAGAATGGTGTAGGGAGGGCATCAACGTTGCTCTAGGAGAACTCACCCAGGGAGCAGGCCAGGGGAGAGAGAAGGAGTTGGAAGGTAAATTGATGATAGTCCTGGCACCATGGGTGTTCTTTCAAAGGAGAAGTTGGTCCCAACTTGAAACCAAAGAAAACAATCTCAAGTGAGGCTGAGGACCTGGCCAGGTATGCCATCAGGTGGAGGCTTGGCAGGGCTCTGGCTGAGCAAGCAGCAGGGCGGTGGAGGAGCAGCTACCACCAAAGCCCTGCACAGCAGGAGCATCCATGAATACGATGTCTCGGCTGCTCCTGGGGATGGAGGAGGCTGTGGGAAGTGGGTCCCAAGACAGCAGTCCAGAGATGGGGGAGATCATGCTGGCCCCAGCTTTGGAGTCTGTGACTCTAGGTTCATAAAGGGCAGAGTGGGTAGGGAGAAAGGGCATATACCAGTTGTCCATGAGACTTCTTAGCATGGTTCTGTAGACCAGAAAACAAAGAATAAAACAGTAAGGACGGCCGGGCGCGGTGGCTCAAGCCTGTAATCCCAGCACTTTGGGAGGCCGAGACGGGTGGATCACGAGGTCAGGAGATCGAGACCATCCTGGCTAACACGGTGAAAACCCGTCTCTACTAAAAAATACAAAAAACTAGCCGGGTGACGTGGCGGGCGCCTGTAGTCCCAGCTACTCGGGAGGCTGAGGCAGGAGAATGGTGTGAACCCGGGAGGCAGAGCTTGCAGTGAGCTGAGATCCGGCCACTGCACTCCAGCCTGGGCGGCAGAGCGAGACTCCGTCTCAAAAAACAAACAAACAAACAAACAAACAAAAACAAAAACAAAAAAAAGCAGTAAGGACAATGAAACTGAAGTCTGAGCTCAGCTTCATCCAATAACTATGTACGGAGCACCTACTCTGTGAAAGAGACTGCACCAGCCCCACCTGGGTCTCTGCCCTTCTGAGAGTAGAGGGCTAGGGGTAGAGGCCACACATGGGAAACAACAGCTTTTAATACCAATTTGTAAAAAGTGCTTGGCAAACTCTACCAACTGTAGGTCCTGCATTAATTCTCTCATCTGGCTTTGGGCAAGAGAAAGCTTCCTGGGCTAGTGACCAGGTGGACTTCATTCCATTTAGCCAAACTGATATGAATGAGCCAACCAATGTGCTGGTTGCTAGAAGTGGGTTCAGGGACAGATAAGGAAATTAAAATTGTAAGACCTCATTTAGGTGCTGTGATAAAACCAAAAAGATCCTAGAAGTGTTTGATGGGCCCTTTTTGGTTCCGTCAAAGCACCTACGCCTGGCGTTAGGGAGACAAGGGCTATGCCACAGAGGTAGTATGCCCGAGCAGATCAGAAAGGCAATGTAGACTAAGGGCACTGCCTGGGGAGAACAGAAATGGGCAGACTCAGAGGTAGCTTACAGGGAACTGTGAGTAATCTTGGCCAAGTCCAGAGGACTAGGCCTTCCATAGGACCATCACAGCTCAGTGTGGAGTAGAGGGGAAAAGGTGAGTATCCCAGCCTGGTTAGAGTGTGGGCTGGAGAAAAGGAACAAGCATGACAGATCTTCCAAGGCATGCTAAGGAGTCTGGCCTCTACTGGGGAGCCACTGAACATCTATTGGTGGATGTTGCACGGGGCAGGATACCATTAGCTTTGCCCTTTAGAAAGAGCTTTCTGGGCTGGGTGCAGTTGCTTATGCTTGTAATTCCAGCACTTTGAAAGACTAAGGCAAGAGGAGTGCTTAAGCCCAGGAGTTGTAGACCAACCTGGGCAACATAGTGAGACCCCATCTCTATAAAAAATACAAAAATTTTCTGGGTGCAGTGGCACGCACCTGTAGTCCCATCTACTCAGTTGGCTGAGGCGGGAGGATCTCTTGATCCTGAGTATCTGTGTTAAGCAGTGAGCCGTGATTGTGCCTCTGCACTCCAGCCTGGATGTGAGACTCTGTTTCAAAAAAAAAAAGAAAAAGAAAAGAAAGAAAGAAAAAGAAAAGCTCTTTCTGGTGCCTCAGCTGGTGCGGCCAGAGGCAGAGGACTCCAGTGAAGCTTAAACTGGGACCTGAGGGTGGCTACAGTTCTGGTGTATGGAGAGAGTGGGTCAGCCTTCAAGGCTGGGAGAAAACCCTGGCCTTAAGGAAATGTTGACTCCAGGGATGGAAGTAAGAAGCAGGCTAGACCCCACTTGGTCCCTGATTCATGGCCCCTGTGGCCACACTGTGCTCCATCTCTTTCCTATCAACTCCCTTTCACCACTTTCAAATACTGTTTTGGGACTAGCCAACCTTGTATCCTGTAGAGAGGATAAAAACCAGCTGTCCCCCAAAGGGAAGGGAGGATAACAGAGGAGAGAAAGAACTATGAGTCAACAGAGGAGGGGAAGGATTCAGTCTAGGTTCTGCCCCTCTAGCTTGGTGCCTGGGCCAAGAGGTGGGCAGGGGGAAGTCTCAAGGGTAAAGCAAGCTCCAGGGACTCAGATGTTGGCTTTGAAGCACTGGCAAGGCAGCTCTGGGCCTAAAGGTCTCTCAGGGACCAGAAATGGACAGTCATGTCTGTTGATAATGTTCTCCTTCAATATTTTGAAGTGACAAGAGGATGCAAGATGATGACAATAGGCTTCGAAGCAGAGCTGATTCAGCTGATGTGGGAACCACATGTTAACATGTCAGAGACGACATGTTAGATTCAAAATGAAGCAGGGGTTCCAGAACACCAGAATTAAAGCATTTATAGTGTAGGTAG